ATTGGCACGCTGCATCTCTCTTTGCAAGTCAGGAGTTTGTCAAGGCCCGCGTAACTTGACTGCCAGACCAATTGTTTGTGGTGTTGACGCGTCGCGGTGCTGTGTGGTTTATTCTGCGACCACAAGGTCACTAACACATGCATTACCTGCACAACAACGCTACCAGGTACGGCCGAAGCGTAATTACGCGACATATAGGGGGGGGGGGGTTCACGTGTCCTGGTTGTGTGACTAGACGGCAACTCGAGACCTGTATCTGTCTAGGTGGAACATGCTGTGGCGACCAGCAAGCCTGCGTGAGTGCTGCGTGCATGCTTGCCCGACTGTACCAATGACTCAGCCTCTTCGTTATTGGCTCTTATTACCAGTCACCTGATACGCACACAGAAGTTAGTTACCTGATTTTACTCGACAAGATTTGACAGGCGTGACGCGAATGAACTGTCGTGTTCGCTTTCGACTCTGTCTTCTCTCTACTCGGGTTGTGACCGGCTGTTATCTATAAGGTTTTGCGGTAGTGCTAATTTAGGCCCCTACAATGCATTGACAAGCACCCAGATTGGATCTAAACTTCTGCCACATTTTGTTCCAGTTCCGCTGGGTCAAGGTCGAATCGCGCCTGTTTCTTGTGCATGTGCGTGCGTGCGTGCAAGCTTCTATCTAGGCGATATAATCGGGTGTAGTTTGCACGGTACGATCACACGTTGAGTGTTCTAGCATGCCAGCATTTCAAAAGACCCACGAATCCCCATATCATTAACCATTGTGCAATTATTTTTGGCGATAGCTAACAGCATTGTTTGTTGAGTTGAAAATCACACTTATGGTCTTGGAATGTTTGAGTAGCAGAACGACACTGAAGGTGCAACCTATTTCCTACATCTATGCCACGTCAGTCGTCGGTACCTTGATTATCTTGATCACGCACTCTTATGATTGGTTGACGTCAAGGCCATGTGCGTGTGTGTGTGTGTGTGTGTCAGTGAGATGTTACGCATGAAAAGAAACCTGCGCGACTAAGCTACTGACCGCAAATGAACACTGAAAAACATTTTTCGTAGTTGTACGCTTGCCTATCCGCAAGTTTAAGCTAAACGGATTGAGATTGGGTATGCTGGCTTGGTGATCTTTCCGAGATTCGAGGCGTTGTGTTGTGTTGCGGCCATATTAGGAAGATGAGGTGAGCATACACAAATTCCTTGGCCAGACAAAAATTGTCTTGCGCACGCTGAGAAAAATGTACTTTTTGTTGCGACATGTAAAGTGTTCTCACGGGAAACAGGTTCGATTAGATTGTTTACAAGGTAGGTAAAAAAATTCAATCTCTGTTAGCCCTTTAATTAATTTCGTAGGCTCAGCTTTGAAGCACGCGCGCCCACTCAAATTTAAAAATGTTCTGCACTCTGATTGGATAGGTGTTACCTGCACCTCAACATGGCGTATTCACGATTTACGTAAGCACGGAGCTGAGCTACGTATGAAACAAGATCAAACATGTGCGTGGTGCTTAATCTTACGCATTTCTATTTTAAAATCATCCTGGCATATCTCAAATCAAATGTGAGTGCTTGTTTTGCAAGGGACGCCAAGCCAAATGCAAGAAAAGTTAATTTGTAATCAACAATCGCTGTCTGCGTCGTTCGTTTGATGATCTGAGGCTTAAGATCTCACATGCCGACAGCTTTGGCGTCGCATGGAACCGCGCACAGGTAGATTAACACTCATCAGTACAAAATTGAGCGCCATAACAGGGCCGAACTGTGTGATGCGTCCATTCCTCACGATTCCGGCCACAGCCACTGACTGGACAAGCGGTTTTTTGAACCAGAAGAATGACGCGGCAGCGTAAACTGACCAACGGTTTAAGTAGGAATACAACGGAACAAGGCGCCGAAGCTGCCAGTTTAGTAAACAGGCCATGTCTTGAACTTTGATGTCCTTAAAATGACCTCTGAGGCTCCTAAGAACCTAAAAACAAGTTAATTGTGGGCATATACCGACTTCTTGTCACGACTCAATTTCTGATCTTGGCACAGCAGCTTCACCAATGACCGCACCTTGTGTCCGGTAAATATTAACCCCACGGAATATACGTTTGTACAAAATTCACCAATCGAAGTTGAACGAAATGACCAATCAGGTGATAGGAGGACCCATGCTCGGTAAATAGATCGAATCACGTGATTTCTAACTCAATTCAACACTTTTGAAATCACGCGATAGCTCTTTCGCCTCGTGTCCGAGTTAGGGTCATCGTTCGAGTGTAAGAAAACCACAAAACAAGTTTGTTTTGCCGCATGCTCTACAGTGACATTTCAATGAGTTAACCAACCAAAAGAGAGGAGACGGTTCGGGAGCAGAGACAATGGGCAGGGAGAATCGTCTTTATTAAATGCAAGAAAAAAACACGAAAATAAGCGACTTGGGTCATTATGAACGGATATACACAGACAAAGGGGATGAAATGGAAGTGAAGGTTCAGTTTAAAGCATCACTTTACATTTGCTTGATAAGTAGGCGAAAGATAAGCGTTGCCAAATGCGGGAAAGCACTAGCCAAGCAAGCAGAAGCTGGGAAGAACCTGAAAGGGAAAGGAGCAAATTTTAATTAAAACCAAGTTGACATTAGCAATAACCAGACACTATGAATTTGGTTGGATTCTTGTGCATAAAAGAATTCAAATTGTGAGTAGTTGACGCTGTGATTATGTAATTGTCATTTGGCTGCATTTTTTTAAGAAAGGACAGAAGACATGCCATCATTGTGAGTCTAACTGAAACATTTATGCTCTAAACTACATTACTTGAGAAGAAAACCAGATGAGAAACGAGAAAATGAATACAATGGACTATATAATCAGAAAAGTAAAAAATTGGCATTGACTGTAATTGAATACTAACTTACATTAACTTTCTTTGGCTTTCTTTCCCTTCTCAACCTAAAGAAAAAGTAGTGTAGAGTATGGCAAAGTAACTAGTCTCATGCACTAACAGTTTTCAAGCAAATTACGTGCGCAGTTAAGCAAGGTGTGTTAAACTTTAACGTGGTGAAACTACAGTTGGCGTTAACTACTTACCCTTCCGACCGTCGCATTCATAGGGGACTGAATAGAGTGAATATAGTGCAACCATTAAAGGAAAGATTGCGAGCAAAACTTGGTTCATTTAAAACAGATAAGTTCACATAAAACTTTAAATCTAACGACTAAATTAAAATTCATGCTGAAAAACCTTTTGAGACGAGAAAATGACTATTAATTTCAAACTGACATGCAGCAATAAAAAATACGACGAAGCTGCAATACATATATTAAGAGTCCCCGGTGCTTTAACTTCGAAAAACGTCGAAATTTTCCTTTCTGCGCATATCATCAACATTCATCAATTTACTTAACTAGTGGTGGTTGTAGCAGACTGCAGACTTGAGAATAGAGACGACTCTAGTAAGCAATATGCGGACAATTATATAATTCACAAATTCTGGACAAGCACAAAATTTAATACACCTGACTAAGAGGAAGAGCAAACTGTTTAGTATGCGAATGCATGACAGGAGTTTACTGTATGGGATAATCATACCTTTTCGTTCCCAAAAACGGCAAGCAGTAGGAAGAAGAAAAAGATGCAAGCTCCAAAAATCAAAAGAGCTGGCAAAATATACTCCATCGTTGAGTAATTCTCAACAAGCGACTTTGTAGTTGACACGATTGATTCTTTGGCCATTGAAACTGCGAGAAAAACAAGCACTCATCAGTAAATGGGAGCAAAATCCCGGAGACTTGATACAAACAATAATGTAAGAAAGGCATTAACAACTCGTAAGTATTATTTTACATTTCTTCCAAGATATGTCATGGATACATTAAAATATATTTTATAAGCAAACACGGTGTTATGGAATTTACATGTACGAATAATTCTACCCAATGCCGATTAAGACTGGATTTTACTAAAGTGATAGACACCCTGTTTCAACCCCCAATACTGTATACAGATATCTAAAACGACGTTTACTTGGGTTTAGTAAGAATGGTTCAGTAAATAGCCATTAATCCATAATCCAACAACTTTCTGTAATTAGGAAATAAGGAAAGAATAATAAGAAATTCATATGCAATAGTAGTTAGATTATGAGAATTAATAGGATCACAATGCTGACATTTAAAAACAGACGTACCAATTCACGGTAAATCTACCCCGAATAAACCCGAAAAAGTGAAAGACAAACGAGCAGTGATGCACCAATCGCAGGCCTCGTTCCAAAACTAGATGTCAACAGTTTTCAAGGTTATTTGTCACAACCAATCTACTTAAATACTGCAATTTTAATGGTTCGAATTTTGAATCATGGGTTTCATTTTCGTTGCAAAGTGGCAAATGTATTTTATAGTTTAAAACCAGCATTTATGTAATTCGAATTATTAGAACCTAACTTGCACAAAGCCATGTGTGCGTGAATAAAAACCAGAATCTGCCACGTAACTGATAGTCAAATATCCCGTTCTACACTTCAATGCTGCCCATATCAGCTCCATTATTGATCGTTTACCAAATATCGGATTTGTGGCGACGATATTTTCAACATTTTCAGAAGTATAAAATGCGTCTGTTCAGCAATTATTATTTAGACACAGATTCTGTGTCCCTAATTGTGTTGTTCAACTCTGGCCCATAACCCTACATATGCTTCAATTAATGTGATTTAAAAATGGTTAAAGTAGCTGCAATCTGCCTTAATAGTATTTCAGAGATTGTTTGACTTACAGCTTTGCACCAACCCCAGTTTGCAGCTGAAATCAATAAATGTTTTACAATTATGGTAGCAAAAGTAAATAATTCGTTAAATTTATTACGGAAAAACTGATTTTTTTCAATATTAGACTTTTAATAACCAGGCTTTAAGTTAACCTTACAACCTTTACAGTGTTTGAGTGTATTCCAAGTATCGTTCCGACCAATGATCTTTAAGACTCGTGTGTCTTTTGTTTGTTATTTGTGATCATGTTTGGTAACGCACCCAAGCCACTTTTTGGTAACCAGCAAACTAGTGTGTTTGGCACCACTTCTCAAAGTGGCTTTTCCTTCGGGACCACAACGACTTCAGCTAATACTGGTTTTGGCTTTGGAGAGAAGCACACTGCCCCTTCGTCGTTTAGTTTGTGTCCTGTGCCTGCTAAATCAACTCCTAGCCTCTTTGGTGGTGTAGGGACTTCAACAGCTACTTCTTCACCATTCAGCTTCTCCGCTGCTGCAAAGCCAGGCTCCTTGTTTGGTAATGCTCCAGCCACCAACACCACAAATCAGAAACCCGGTTCACTTTTCTCTTTTCAACCCGCTCAAACTGCCCAAGCAGCTTCGACATTCCAACTGGGATCAGGACTCGGTGCGTTACTAGAATTTTTAAAGCTACTCAGTTGCATCGTAGTCGCCCCTAGCTTGTGTATGTTCATACTTAATGTTTTAACTAGATTAATTACCCTTCCATAATTTAGTTCGGTTTTTTGCTCTTAGTGACTCAAAATGCAGCATTTCAACAGCAGCAACAGCAACAACAACAAGCTCAGCAGCAACAGCAGTCTGTTGACGCCTTCTATGCATCGCTGTCACAACCGATGCTATTTGGAGACGAGCGAGACAACATAATCGCCCGTTTGAATCAGTTGCAGGCAATGCTTGGCACGGGAATCGGCTACTCGGCCCTGGGTCCGGTGACGTATACTCCAGACAATCCTTTTTCGCGTTTCCGCGGCATTGCTTACAACGTTTTGCCAACTAGCTCTGAGGCTGATGGACTTGTGTGCATGGAATTGACTAAACCATTTTCTGAAGTGTTACCACAAAAACAGGGCATACAAGATCACCTCTTCAGGCTTCTTGGTGGCCGGGTGAATTATCAGCTCATAATTGAAGAGATTAGACCAGCTGCCTCCTCCCAGCACACGGAAGTTGTCATCAAAGTTGTTGAACGACAGGCATCCGGTACGTGTGTAATTTGTCCTCTTATTTTTACTCCCAAGTTTCACCATTTCTATGAACTTTTCTTTCCTTCATTTGATTCATGTATTCGGTTTAGGTGCAACGCACATTGTACCCGCCAGTGACTTGTCGAACTTCCTATGCGGTCCCACTCTCAGGCCACAGTTGGAATCGCAGCTGTGTGTGTGTCGCCTCACTCCAGAATTGGCTCCGTCAGCTTCTCAGATAAATGCTTATCTGGAGCTTCCTCCTGCTGGAATTGATAAACGTGTTTGGCAACAGGTTTGTCACTTGTGTTAACCCTTCACCTAATGCCTATCCATGCAAAAAGACCAGACGTATCTCTCGGTAAAATTTAAAATTTCCTAGTGACCTTGACGCTCCACAGTGAAGTGTTTAAACAAAACTACGCTGTGTCTCTATGCCTAGGCTCGAGCGGACAACCCCGCGCCAGACCGCCTCATTCCCGTTCCAGTGATTGGATTCGCCGACTTGAAACGACGCCGCGCCGACCAGCTCCTCTTTGGTGACCAACAGCGCAAATCTGTCAAAGTTAGTGTGCACCCGTGTTCTCCCTGTGTCTGTTTCACCCTCGTAACCCTACTGTCCAATCACGTGTCTCGATGTTATTCCGACCTTTCAGCACCTCCTCTCCGCCACAAGCAACCTCCAATCGCAGCAGCTGTCGACGTCGCAGAAGATTGCTCAGCTTAAACGCAAGCAAATCGAGCTTAATCACCGTGTTCTCAAGGTAACGTCGGAGTGCCATCTTAACACTGCGGTGATGTAATTGCTACTTATTGTTTACAAGTATGCGTTGTGTTATATTGTAGTTGTTGGCCAAGCAGACGGTTGCGCGGCGTGCGGGCTTCGCCATCAGCGCCGACGAGGAGGCCTTGCGTTGCGCGCTGGAGCACATCTGGTCGGAGATCACGTCGCCGCGCGGCCTGCGTGCACGAATTCACCAACTCCTGCCCAGTGTGCAGACGAAAACAGCCTCCTCGGTGGCGGGCAGCGATGCCTCCAAGTCGGACGCCACCAGAGACGTGGATGGCGTCGGTGGCAGCAGCGCCTCGTGGTGGCAGCATCCAGAGATTGTGGAGGATCTACGAGAGGTGGGTCCCTTTTGTAAACGGACAGTCTCAACTGGGGTCTGGGGCAGCGCAGTGCGTCAAACCACGATAACTTCTACATCTAACTCCACTAAAAATCTCGCTGACATAAATGCTACTTACTGTTTATAAGTAGGCGTTGTTTTATAATGTAGCTTTTGGCCTAACAGGTCTGGGGTATCGCAGCGAGGCAAATCACGAATGTCACCCGCATTGTCTTCTTTTAGTATTTAAGCCAGCGAACCACGGGGATGAAGGAGATGCGGCGCCTTCTGACGGAGTTGAACGGGGTTGTGCGTGTTCTCACGCAGCAGAAGAAGTCGAGTCCGCTGCAGCCGCAACCACCACCGCTGGAGTATCCGAGTTTCGACAATTCGAAACTTGCTATCTCTGGTCGGCTGCGTGGAGCACTGTGATGCCGATGTTGTATGCACATAATATTTTACCTAATAAAGATTTATGCTGTCCGCCAAAATCCTCCACTCGACGTTGTGTGGAAGTCGGCTGCAATCTGCGTACTATGGGCTATTGCAACCACGGCTATGTCAGTTCTGACGATGGTATTTTGTCATTAAATTGCGCTATAACCAGTAATAATTCGGTTCAATTTGTTCATCGTTCGGGTTTTGTAGATCATAGCTGGCATTAGATAAAAACTGGCTACTTAGACACCAATAGTAGCAAGGTAAATTGCAACCAAATGCCAGTTGTCTTATCGAGTTAAACCCAGCAAATCCAGAAATTATGGTGTTTTGAACAAGTCAAACGTAGCCCAAATGATGGCTACAGAAAGCTGCTAACATTAACCAGCAAATTTTTTGTTCTCATAGTCATATGAGATGGATGCAGTTTATGCCTTTAAGCGCCGCAAAACCGAATGACCTAAAAGCACTTCTGACATACCGAAATCGTACTCAGTAGTTCTGTGCCTCCTTAAAACGGCGAAAGTTACTTGCGCATGGCGTCGTCACTGTTTCACCAGAAGTCGTAGTCGGCCTTGGGTCCGTATCAGACTGTAAAATTACATTCACTGGCTTAAACTCACGCGACCAATCATCGCAGTGCTCTGTCAAGGACCTCTTTTCATTGGCTCGAATGGGTTGGTGAGCAGCGCTTTGCCATTTAGCGCATTCCTGAATGATCCAGTTAATGCCATAGTAATGTCAGCACTAATCGGCCAAACCTGTCAAATTCGCTTAAGTCTTTCAACTTTACGACGTACTGCTGTGTAAATCGGAGTCATGGGTGGTGGTGGAGGGGAGTAGACGGGATTTGGCTGAAGCATCTCCCGAAGCATCTGTCGATCAAGCGGAATTTCCCACCTTCCAAGAAAATCATTTTTCTAAGCCCCTGCAGCCAGTCATTTGCAAAACATTGACCCCTTGAGAACTTTACGTTTCAGTAGATGACTCAACAAAAAAGGGGCAATGAAACTTATTCCATATTTTTCTTAATCACGGTAATTAAATTATCGATGAAGTATCGGTGATTTGAGCAATCAGAATTTTGTCAACCGGTATACACTGTCTACTGAAATGATCGTAGTAGCATTGCTAATGTCGACAAAGCCGTCAAGCGAATTGACATCGGGTTGAAGTGGTGGCATGTGGAAACTTATGTCGGAATTAAGATAGGTTCTGCAGGTAAGGGATCTGTTTGCGCGTTATTAGCTGAAGGTGCCATGTCGTTCGAAAAAACCCGTAATAGTCCATATTCCATATTTCTTTTAATCATGACATTTGAAATTTCGCCGGGATATCGGTGACTTGAGTAGGTCATAGCTGTGTCTCCCGAAAGCCACCAAGATCGATTTTTCGGTTTTCGTGGTACCGATCCGGAGCCACGAAGGTCCAATGCCTAAAAGTGAGAGTTTCCTCCACATGGGTGGACACCATTGTTTGGTTTCATTCGAAAGCAACCTGATGATGCAGTGTGTGTCGTCTGACATGTGAAACGATCTTCCCACATCGCTAAGCTACTGAAATCCCAAACAGTAGCACTACGCATCTAATATTCAAAATTGCCTCCGTTTCAATCAGTGGCCCAAATTCTTTTCCACTGGTGTAAATTCACGCAACCAACCAACGCACGGCCCTGTAAAATCTCCACGCTGATTGGTTAGAATGACAGGTTTATTAGCGCAATCCCGTATGATTCAGTCAACACAACTCCAGAACAACGCCAACTTCGGAACGTACGTAACCCTGTTTTACCGCTTGAATTTGGCCAAAATTCGTGGATGAAGCAGCAATCAGTTATCCCTCGTAGGCACTTTGCACAGATCCCCTCACCCTGCAAACACGCAAGATTCAAATTTCTCTCGTGTGAACAAAATCACTCACCCGCTGTCACGTCAGTTTTGTCGTCTTCGAGAAAATTAATCGATGCATCTGATTGGTGCAAAGGTGGCGCTCATTTTGAATATTAAGTGTGTAACGCGCGCCATTTAACGCACGTACGCCGGTGTGGCATGTTCTTTGTCACCCTCTCCCTTTACCGCACTCGCGTCTTCCACAAGGCACGACCGTGAGTATGAGGGCCACGCCGACCCTCATCACGGCCATCCCTTTCCTCCTCTAACTCTCCCTAAGCCCTGGCCCTCTGAATTGGTATGCCTTGTAGCTAACCATGAAGGTGTGGCTATTTAGGTCCCAGCTCGATAGGCGCGCTACATGGGCTGTGGAAAGTGCTTAGCAAAATTTATATCTCCTGAATACAGTTTTGTGTGTCAGATTTGTCAGTTTCTGGCAATTAGTCTACTCAAAGTGCTTGTGGCGATGGCGTAGAAGATGGAAGATGTTGCGGGCGGTGGTTTTCCCGTCTGA